GCCCATGAGGGATGTTGAGCAAGGCATCGCACAGAGAGTTGCCCAGTATGCAGGCTTCTCTGGGAGGCATGTTGTCCTGCATAAGGGTTGCCTGCCCTAGTCTTCCTTTCCCAGAAAAACGGCAGAAGACAGGTCGAGAGCGCTTCGGGTCAAGCTAACAGCCTGATGGCGACTCTTGTACACAGTCTTAATGTTTGATTGGGAAGGTACAACCTCTGCCTCTATCCCTCAATATATGGGTGACCTATTTGCTTGTAAAAATATAAAGCCTTATCATTAATTAATAAAAAAAGGGGGAGATGTAGGGAGCCGTCCCTGCATTCTCCATTACAATGATGGCGCCTGAAGGCACTGAATGTAAATTATTGCGCAGGCGCTGGGTAATTTTCCATTTCCTTGATCTCTGCCTATTCCGTGGCGTCATATGGCCTGATGAGCTGAAGCCAATCATAGGGTGACACGTCCCAGGCGGCTGCAGCCTTTATTAGGGGACGGGATTCTTGGCTCGGGGTCTCCGCTCTGGTAAGCTTATGCTCTCCTCTCAAGATACATTAAAGCTTTACTGCAGAAGGATCCGAATGTCCTGTGTGGTTCTTGCTGGCGAGGCGATTGCGAGGGACAGATTATCTTAATAGATAACACCAAAGTTAAGTAAAGATCAGATAGACAATTTAAATAGACCTATAACCCCTAGGGAAATAGAAGCAGTCATTAAAAGCCTCCCAAACAACAAACCAAACAAACAAGCAAAAAACCTGAGACAAGACAGTTTTAGCACAGAATTATACCAGACTTTCAAAAAAGAGCTAAAACCAGTACTTCTCAAATTATTCTACAAAATGGAAACACAAATAATATTGCTAATTTTTTTCTATGAGGGCACAGTCTGATACCCAACTCACACAAAGATTTATCAAAGAATGAAAATTATAGAACAATTTCTGTCATGAACATAAACACAAATATGATAAAGTACTTGCAAACCAAATTCAAGAACACATATAAAAAGATCATCCACCATGATCAAGTAGGATTCATCCCAAAGATACAGGGATGATTCAACATATGAAAATCATTCAACGTAATCCACCATATAAACAAACTGAAAGAAAAAACATATGATCATCTCATTAGATGCTGACAAAGACTTTGTCAAATACAACACCTCTTTATGAAAAAATCTTGGGCAGATTAGGGACAAAAGGGACTTACATAAACATAAGAAAGGCAACATATGGCAAGACTATAGCCAACATCAAATTAAATGGAGAGAAACTCAAAACAACTCTATTAAAGTCAGGAACAAGACAAGGCTGTCCACTCTTTCCATATAGTACTTGAAGTTCTAGTGAGAGAAAAAAGAAAACTGAAGGAGATCAAAGGGATACAAATTTGAAAGGAAGAACTCAAACTGTTGCTATTCACAGATGATATGATAGTATACACATGTAAGAGGGAAAAAATCCAGCAGGGAACTCTTACAGCTCATACATGCCTTCAGTGAAGTAGCTGGATTCAAAATTAACTAAAAAAAAATAAGTAGCCTTCTTATATACAAATGATAAATGGGCTGAGAAAGAAATTAGGGAAACAACACCCATTACAATAGCCACAAATAATATAAAAATATCTTGGGGTAATTCTCACCAAGCAAATGAAAGACTTGTATGATTAAAAAAATTCAAGTCTTTGAAGAAAGAAATTTAAGAAGATACCAGAAGGATAGCCACCCTACCAAAAGCAATCTACAAATTCAATGCACTTCCCATCAAAATTACAACACAGTTCTTTACAGACCTTGGAATGACAGTACTCAATGTTATATGGAAAAACAAAATACCCAGGATAGCTAAAACACTATTGAAGAATAAAAGAACTTCCAGAGGCATCACCATCCCTGATTTCTGGCTCATCTACAGAGCTATAGTAGTAAAAACAGCATGGTATTGGCATCAGAACAGATAGTTTGATCAATGGAATGTAATCAAAGACCTAGATGTAAATCCACATACCTATTTACACCTGATTTTTGATACAGAACACAGAAATACACAATGGAAAACAGAAAGAATCTTCAAACAAATGGTGCTGGTCTAACTGCATACTGGCATGTAGAAGAATGCAAATTGATCCATACTTAATCACCCTGCACAAAACTCAAGTCCAAGCAGATCAAAGCCTCAACATAAAACACTGAACCTTAATAAAAGAGAAAGTGAGGGACACATTGGCACAGGAGACAACTTTCTGAACGCAACACTGATACCACAAGCACTAAAATCAACACTTAATGAATGAGACCTCATAAAATGATAAAGCTCTGCAAGGCAAAGTGCATCATCAATAGGACAAGACAGCAGCCTACAAAATGGGTAAAGATTTTCACCAACTCCACATCTGACAAAGGGCATATATCTATATATATATATATATATATATATATATATATATATATATATATATATTAGACATAAAAAAAAAAAAAACATACCTCGATCATTATATTTTAAAACAATAAATAAATCCAAAGTAATTGCTTCAGCACCTCAGAATTTGTCATAAGTGCTCTAAAGATGGGGCTTATTAGTAAAGCTCTTTCCAAGCATGCATGAGGCCAAAGTTCCCATCTGTATAACATCCCCAATACCACAAAAGAAAAAAATGTTAAAGTATTATAATGTGCACATAAAAATTGGGTTTCATTTTTGTTTTTTTTAAGTTTAAAAATATTTATTTTATGGAGGAATGGCAAGCACATGCTATAACATGTGTGTGAGTATCATAGGCCAACTTCCAGGGTTAGTCGTCTTCTTCTACCATGTGGTTCCCCATAATTGAACTTGGGTGATGAGGATTGGTGATAAGTGAATTTACTCACTTAGCCACACCACCAGCCCCAGTTTTTATTTGTCTTGAAATTTCTGTAGGCTTAATAAATTAAAATAGTTAAATATTTATAAAGATCAAAAAGGAGGAAGACTGAGACTAAGTAATTTGGCTAAGCTAGGATATGAAGCCAGGGTCATGTCTCTTAGACTTCATGCTCTTGATAAACTGATCTTTATTCACCAAAACCCTACTTTGGTGTCTCTTTGTTAAAAACACTGTGCAGGGGCCAGCAGGAAACCCTATGATGATTAGAAAGAACAGCTCATCCCGACTCCCAGTGAGCTCATGATTTAGTAATGATAAAGTCCCAGGGAGAACCACGAATCCATCTAGTGTCTATATAAGGTTTCACTAAAAAATAGCAACTATCCATCTGACATCAGTATTTCATCTTCTCTGTGTGGATCTTGTCTTCATCTCTGAACAGCATCTCTTTGTGTCTGACCTCTCATTTCAATCTTCCTAGCTTATTCAAATGAGAAATAAGATGAGCGTATCCAGTTTGTCCTGTCTTCTCAAAATCATCCAGAAACACAGAAATCCTGATTGTTAAGATTCCAAGTGACAAAAAACATGTACTTTGGTTGTGTCTAATCAAATAACATCAATCTTAAAAGTTATTCAAGTTCCTGGTGTGAAAGTACATGGCTGAATAGGACCCTTAGCTCTATAACATCAACATTCTATTTTTAATCAATTTATAAAATGAAGATGTTTTCCTCTTTCCATTGCTAACCAGTTATAGACCACCACAAGCATCTGCACTGAACTCCTCTGATCTTCATTACTAAGTTATAAAGTCTGGTGAATGTAGGATCACTGTATTAGTTACTTTTCACAGTGCTGGGATGCAATACCTGGCAAATGCAACTTAAGGAAGGAATGAAGGCTTATTTTTGGCTTGAAGGCTCAAGGATACAATCTATCACTGTGGGAATGCCAAGACGGGTTTGCAGCAGTTGGTCACATGGCACCCATAGTCAGGAAGGAAAGAGAAAGATGAATAACAGTATTTAGCTCACTTCTTCCTTTATTTTCCACTTCAGAATCCCAGGTCATGGAATAGTACTGCCCATAGTTAATATGGCTCTTCCCACCTCTGTTGACCTATTGTAGACAGTCACTCACAGACATATCTAGAGGCTTGTCTTCTGGGTGATTCTAGATCCTACCTACCAAGTTGACAATCTTACACAGCGAAGTCACTTATGTAGGACAATTCTACATGTAATCGCAACCCTTATTCATCCATCGTTAAATCGAGCAACAGAAAGCAAAGTGATTGAAAGAACAGAAGATGTGAGTGGGGCTAGAAGGGGACTGGAAATGGGATTGAGAAGAAAAGGATCATACAATCTGTTTGTAGCAATGCACTGTTTTCTATGTCTATAGCACTCACACATATGCTATCATTATTTTTGAAGATAGTGAGAAGTAATTCATAATAATGATTAAACATCATTTAAGTAAGTGGTTCCACTAGATGATAGGAATTATTTATGATTTTTTCTTTTTTTTTGTAAAGAAAAGAAATACACCAACCTGGAGTGTGAGGTAGTCAGCCAGGATCTGGATAGGATGATACAAGTCTGAGAGTCCATTGACAATTGGGATGGATGCTTCCTTAGCCAGGATGTCCAGATCCGATTGTTTGTACACTCGAGCTAACACTGCATCTGTCATGCTAGATAACACACTGTGGCACACAAAGAAGACATATTCTAAACAAATTTTACTTAATAACCCCTCCTTTAATACAAGCTCCTTAAATATATGAATAAGTACTAACAAACAAAAATGTGTATTATAATATACCTATGAACATGACAGATTGAAAAACTAACACTAAACATATAGTCATTGTAGAAAATAGATGTTGTTCCAACCACATCCTATCCATTGTCCATGTTACATTTTTTGTGGAGATAAGAAATCAATTTGAGCCCCCAAAACACAATAATCTATAATTGATGAATGCCAGTTTGTCAGCTTATCTATGTATAAAGGAAGAAGACCAAACAGGAAGACATTCATAGAAACCTGAGTGACCTGATATGTGGCTTATTTTCTCTTACATTAGCCCACCGCGGGAAATTTTCACTGTTTCTATAAAATATAAAGTATCCATGTAGCAGCTGTGGAAACACACAGAAACTGTCCTACAAGAGAGAACCTGCTGTATAGGAAACTGTCCACTGGTAAGACTCTGGATGTCATTCTTTCTGCATCTGCAGCATCAAGGCCAAGCCCACCTTCTCCACAGGCTGTTCACACCCAATGGCTTAGTTCAGCAGAGGAGAATGGAGCTGGACTATTTAATCTTTCTTCTGGAGCTCCCCATAGCCAAGGCAAGCATTTTTCAAAACTGCATTGCCACCTAGATCTCTCCTACTTCTACCTATGTCTTCGTCCTTACTTTATCCTGTATGCAGGTCGATCTTCCATGGGTGTTTCCTCTAATAAATGTCTTGCATAACTAATTCCATCTTGAAGACTGCTTCATAGTGGACCTATACTAACAGCTCAAAATGAACTCTGGTGCTAATAAAATTCAATTCAAGCATTCCCTCAAGATTCCTTGCTTACAGCATCAACGACTGAAAAATATACTGACATATAATATAAACCTTTCCTAGACATTTTGATTCTTTCAAATGTTTGTAGATTGCTCACAGCTATGATTTCTGGACTTCCAGATGTTTTTTTTTTTTTTTTTTTGAATCAGCAAAGTTTCTAAAAAACATCTGGAGAGCTACAAAATATCCCCAACTCCCTGACTAGTAACTCAAAGGTATTTAAAATAAATAAGTATAATATATTGTTACCCTTCCATAATAAAGCAGTGAGCATTTGAAGATAAAACGGTGTGGGGAGTGATCCTTAAGATCTGTTAATTGAGCTGCCTGAAATTTACTTTATTGTCTTACTTCTTTTTAAAAATTTTGTTACATATGGGAGCTTTTCCATAGTGGGGCCTCAGGAGAGGAACCCAGATAAACTGTAGCTCTGAACTACATAATTACATTCTGTATGATAATATGAGATAGGTGAATAAAAAGCCATTCATAGATTAGGTAATATCACTCCTCCCCAAGGCTCAGGGACCATTGCAGAGGAAAGGGTTGGAAAAAATTGCAAGAACCAGAGATTGGAGAATACCATAGTAAATCAGTGTCCTCTAAACAGGACAGGACAACTTCACCCATGAACTCACAGCAGTTGTCGTTGCCTGCAGAAAACCTGCCCATAATTAAGGTAATAAGCACTCTAGGAGGAAATAGGAATGGGTTTATGAGCCCCTACCACTGAGGAGATATAGACAGTTAATGGCTTCTGGGGAAAGGGTTAATTTTCTTTAGGTGTGGTTTCTGGTAGTTCATCCCACACTCCAGTGGATAACCCTATACTGAGGGGTATATGGGCAGCACAAAATGGATTCTGTGGGGTTTTGTTATAATAAGACAAAAGTTGGATTTTATTTGGGAAGTGGGTGGGTTTTGGAGGATTGGGGAAGAATGAGGGTTAATATATCAAACATGTCATATTAAATTATTAAGGAATCAATAAAGTATTTTAAAACACATGTGTCTGTTATCCTTTGGCAGTGTACTAAGACAAGGCATTTCAAATCTTGCTCCACACAAAAATAATTTATTTTTGATGCTCACTCTACGTAATATACATCATGTAAGGAAAATCAGAATTTCTAGGGGATGCTACTTAGGAATCAGTGTGTTTGTTTGTTTAATTTCCAAGGAGATACCATTTTTAAGCTAAGGCCAAAAACTAAAACTAGCACACTGTTCTTCATATTAATATTGGCAGTACCTGGACCCTTAGCAGTGACACAGGGCCCCAGAGTCCACTGATGAATAATGTCCACTTTAACTGGATCTCCAAGCCCAAATTTGCACATTAAAGTTTGAAGTTCTTACTAAAAATGGAATCAAAGCTACCACAGAATCCTGTTAGGGAAAAAAATCAAGAATAAAAGAATGCTTCTGAGGTAAGAGCCAATAATAGATGGTAGAGAATACTTTCTGAGTCACTTAAAATAAAAAGGTATCTCAAATCCTCTGAGTGTAGAGTGATTCACCAGTAAATATTTCCCAGTAAAGCCTCCTGCATTAGAGCAACCAGCTACCCACAGATATGATGAGCTCAAACATTGTTGACTTGTACTCTTTTGAGTAAAAGAACTTTCTCCAGATATAGGGGATGACTTCTGAGTCCCTTAGGTGTTTCAGATAACCATCCAAAATGTAAGAACTAAGGCATTAATAGCTATGTTAAAATAATTTTACATCTGCTTTCCCTTTCTTGAGAATAATACAAATCTTCTTTCCAGTAGAATACAAGTTTCTAATTCCAGTAGAATACAATGTAAGTAGACAATTCAATAAGATCTAAATCATAACCAACAAATAAGTCCATATTTAAAGGTAATCAATTTTATGATACCTATAACCTCATAAGAGAGATTCAGAATATCTGTGACCTTGTATGTCATACTTTAAACTTCTTTAAACATACATGACTTCCTAAAGTGTGTACAGATGCCTCCAAACCCAGTGGCTTTACCTAGGTCTCATCTCCTAAATTTTCATCACCTCCTATTATCCCAGCAGTTTATGATTCATCAATGAATGTGTTAATCTACTGATGAGTCACAGCACTCATGACTCAATTACTTCCCCAAAGTCCCACCTCTGAACATTTCTGCAATGCTAAATAAGCTGTGAACATTTGGGGATATGTCAAAATCCAAACCACAACAAGCCCTGTGTGAAAGAGTAGCCAGGTATGGGGAGGAAATATATATGGCTTGAAGACGTACATGGTTGAAATGAGAAGACAATATTAGCGCTGGACATGTCTCTAGATTTGGAGCAGACAAGTACTGTGTAATGTATCTCGGGGAGATTATACTCTAGAAAATTCTCTGTACTGGATGATTGCAAAGAACCTGGGAGTTGGGTATGGTGGTGCACACCTTGAGTACAGTACTCTGAAGGTTGAGATAGGAGTATCATCACCCATTCAAGGCCAGCCTTAGGTATACAGTAAGACACCTCCATCTACACACACACACACACACACACACACACACACACACACACCAGGCAGAAATAAATCTGCATTCTAATTCCTTACTCGGGGTACAAATAAAACAATCATGTGGGATAATCTCTTCATGATCATGCAGAATCCAGCATTAGAATAGAAGTTTGTAATGACAAAATGGTACCCTACCCTTCAGGAATGTGCACTTCTCACTAGTGATCCATTACAGCTATTCAAATACCAGAAAGAACCCAGGATATTCTGGTAAATTCCCTCTTGTGTTAAAAGAGAGAGAATGGGAAAACAGCATGATATGACAGACTGGAAGGATTAAGATCTTATACACACATTAAGTATTTTTATTTCAGTTCAGTCAGTTACCACAAATGACAGTATAGAAGCTGTTATTTTTTACCCCCTAGATTCCTGCAAGCATCTTTAGCACAAAGAGTTTGGTCTTTAACATTATTCTATTTTTTAAAAAATGGAAAGAGAACCATTAGAGGATATTCAATTCAATGTCCTTGGAAGGATAAAATCAGAACAGGTCTGTAACATCACATTGTTGCCAGGAAGCAAGAGAGGCTTTTAAATGGCAAGGGCACAGCTAATGAGGAGGGAGTCAACTTAAAGGAGCTTCCATTTTCTATCGATAATTATTTATAGCAGTAAAAATTGTTACATGAAACAAGTTCTAATTGTAAAAGGCAGTGGTACTTGTAAGAAATGGATTAATAGGAAGAAAAGGTACAAACATAAAAGAGAAATATGAAAGAGAAATAAGTATTACCTCTGCATTTAAATTTATTTAAACAAGTAGGAATACATAATACATACATATGTATTTTCAGATAGCTATTTTATGGGATTTTGTTAAATATATTTTCTGAATATTAAGCATATGTATCTATTATTTTCAATCTGCATAATCCATAACAAGTTAACAAAATTTATCAGCCAGCTGGTCCTAGAAATAGTAGAAACTATTCCAAAAATGGGCCCCATCAGCATTTGAGGTCTCCTACATAAGAGAAATAGCAGAGACCCCAGCAGTTAACGAGCACCAGTTGTCATGTGACTTCCCATAGAAATGGGATAGAACTGTTATTCCAAAATAATGACTTAGTTAACTGTCCATGTAAAGTTTCTCATTCATTTTCCTGTTTCTCTCAAGGGGAAATCTTTTCATGACCTAACTAATTCTGACCCAATGCAAAGAAACAAGGTGTATACTTTAACATATTGAGAGAGGACAAGAGTGGTATATTAAAAGGCTGTGGCAAAGGGTCGTGTCAGAAATAAACAGCAAACTTGAGAATGGACGTGCAATATAGTAATAAGGATCCCGTGCTAAACATAATAATGAGTTGCAAAGATGCCCATGCTCCAATCCTCAGAACCTTCACAAAATGAATTGCACAGATATAATCAAAGGATTTTGAGAGAGGAAAATTCCACTGGGGTATACTCAATAGAATGTCAGATGCCTTTATGAGATAGAGAAAGAAGATGAGAAATGGAAGAAAACGAAATGGTGAGAGGTTTGGGGATGAGCTGAAGGATGTGGGCAACCTCTGGGAGCTGGAAAGGGCCAGAATTCAAATCATCCCCGGAACATTCAGAAGGAAGCAT